TACCCGAATCCCGAGTACCCGGATTTCTCAGGTCGGGACATGGGCCGACTTTCAAATTACCTGAGGATCCGGGTACCTGAGTTTTCAGGTACCCGAAAACGCGGTTACCCGGATATGAACACCCTTACAACAAAGTGATGATTATGCCACCTGGTACAAATACTTTCCGACCATCCTCAAGGGTGTGGCACAAGACTGGTTCAACAGTCTGCCGGTCGGATGCATCAATCGTTTTACAACTCTAAGTCTATTATTTGTTGGAAACTTCTCCTACAACATTCCACCCCGGAAGACTAGTCTTAACTTGGCGACCATCGTCCAAAGAAAGATAGAGGGGTTGCGTTCGTACATCCAGAGGTTCAGGAGAAAGCTCGCATTCAAAATCTGCCGGATGAAATGCCTACTTGGAGTTCCTTCGAGGTTTAAGGCATAATGGTTTCAAGTTTGACTTGGTTAGGAAAAAGATTCGGACATACGCAGGCGTTCTGTGGGAGGCCGAATCATATATTTAGGCAACTGATTTTTGTTCTCTTACAAAATCAGAGAGACGACCAAGAGGACCGAGAAGAAACAATCTTCTTAGCAAGACTCGGCTAGCAAAAAGAAGGAAGGAAGCAACAAAAGAAAAGAAGTCTGGGTGGTCGACTGCCAACAGACAAAATCAAAGAAAGCCAAGACGTACGAGCCTCAGTTCGAGTACAACAAGGATTGTTATTAAATTTTGATGGAAATTAAAGACAAGTTCGAGTTCGAGAAGTCTCAGCCTTTGAGAGGAGAAACAAGAACAAGTACTGTCAGTACCACAAAGACGCGGGGCATGACACGAACGACTGCAACAATTTGAAGAGTATGCTGGATAAGTTAGCCTAAAAGGGCATGCTCAACTCGTACGTTCTAAATTTCAAGTTCACCTACTCTTGGACAGACAACAAATCCGAGAAAAAGAAAACAAAGAAAAAGATATTGATGCAAACAACATAGACTTAGGGTTTGTGGTCGTTATATCAGGCGGCTTTGCTGTAGGCCGCCTTACCATGAAGGGAATCAAGCAGGATGCTTGGAATTTTGAAAATGTAATGCACACTTAAGGGGTAAAGGCCGAGCCCTTTCTAGAAGTGACGGCCTGCGAGACGGACTGAGGCAATATCAAAGCCCCTCACAAAGACCCCATGGTGTTCATCTTGAAAGTCGCCAATTAAAAGGTTGGACGAGTGCTAATAAACACAGGCAGCTTGTCCGACATAATTAGTTTAGCTTGTCTGAAGAATTTGAATTTTCCAGAGGGCGCCCTGAAAGATATCTACCACTCGTTGGTTGGGTTTGGTGGCAGTATCATTCACCCGGTCGGACAGATAGACCTGCTCGTCCGATTTGGGGAAAAGTGGGAAGGGACATGGTCGTTCACTTCCTAGTTGTTAAAGAGTTTACGGGCTTCAATGTTATCATCGACCGCCCAACTTTGACAATCAGCTAAGGCAGTAATTGTCCCTCATTTGATGCTGATGAAGTTTGAGCGGTCAGACGGAAAGATAGGTTCCATTCAGGGAAATAAAAAATGGCAAAAGAATGCAATCAGTTGGCTTTGAAGCCAATAGCGCGCGGACATGGGAAAGCGACCGAGCGAAATTCCGAAGAAAGGTCACTCCAAGCATACCAGATCGTTCAGAAGTTCAAGTCGATAAAAAAAGAGCAAGCATAGCAGCTAATTTAATGACCATCGGCCGGCCAGAAGAGTTGAGGCCACAGCCGGCCGGCGATCATACGGACATAGTGCTTGACCCAGTCCAACCTGATAGGACGGTCAAAGTGGGCACTATGGCCATGGGCTTGCTTGGAGATGACTTGGTAAATTAGTTAAGAGAATTTAGAGATGTGCTTGCTTTCGAAGTTCATGAGATGACGGGTATCAGCCCAGACTTAGCTGTTCATAAGCTGGCTATGAATCCGGCTGTAAAGCCTGTTCGGCAGAAAAAGAAAAACCATGGTGAAGAAAGGAATCAGGCGGGCGCAGCTTAAGACAAAAAGCTGCTGGACGCCGGTTTCATTCGGCAATATCACTATCCTGATTGGGTAGCAAATGTGGTTCTTATGAAGAAGCCGAATGGAACTTAGAGAATGTGCGTAGACTACACCGACCTCAACAAGGCATGCCCTAAGGATAGCTTTCCTTCGCCTAAAACTGATCGTTTGGTTGATTCAACGGTCGGGCATGTCCTAATGAGCTTTATGGACGCATACTGCGGATTCCACCAGATTCCTTTGTGGGAAGAAGATCAAGAGAAAATAGTGTTTGTGACCGAGTAAGGGTTATATTGCTACAAGGTTATGCCATTCGGCCTGAAGAATGCCCCTGCCATATTTCAGAGACTTGTGAATACGGTCTTCAGAGATCAGATTGGCCGGAACATGGAAGCTTATATAGATGATATGATTGTTAAATCAAAGAGGCCGGTCGACCATCTGAAGGACCTCCGAAAAACATTTACCGAACTCAGGCGGCATAAGATGATGTTAAATCTAAAGAAGTGTGTCTTTGGTGTTGAGTCCGGCAAATTTCTCGGATTTTTTATTGATCAGTGCGACATTGAGGCTAACCCTGAGAATATTTAGGCGGTCTTAGACATGAAATCGCCCAGAACTATAAAATAAGTTCAAAGGCTGACAAGCTGTTTAGCTGCACTCGGACGATTTCTGTCAAGATCAGGGGATAATTCCGTTATTTTTTCCAAACTATCAAGAAGAAAGCAATGTTCGAGTGGACAGTGGAGGCTGAGGAAGCCTCAGTACAGTTGATAAACATTTGCATACCATTCCTTGGCCCGTGAGTCCACTCAAAGACGAGAAACTATATATATATATATCTTGTAATTTCAGATCATTCATTAAGTGTCGTCCTGCTTGCTGAAAGGGACGGCCATCAGATCCTTGTGTATTTCATCAGCTATATTCTACACAATGCCAAGCTTAAGTATCCACCCAATGAAAAGTTCGGCTTGGGATTGTTCATGGCATTAAAGAAGCTAAGGCCATACTTTCTTGCTCACTCGATTGTGGTCTACACGGACAAACAGTTGAAGAAGACGTTCACAACATTTTTGCAGTTGTTTGTAATTTTTTCGGCTTTTAACTAATTTTTTTTTTCATTTATACGCGTTGATTTTATTTGCTTATGGATGAAAATTTGTCATCAAAAACTATTTTGTGAGTAAATTATACTATTGTTGGATCTTTTGTGTAAATATTTGTTCAATATTATTGATAATTGTTGATTTTATTGGGGTTTTTGGTTAGTTGATACATTATATTTTTTTCAATTTTGTATATTGCATTAATGCCTACCAGGTGTTTGATGAAATGCTCAATAAAGTTTGAGTGCTCTTTTCAGTTTTTATCCTGTCTTCCTCCCTTTTCATTCTATCTCGCATATAGTTTGCTTAATTTATTGATTCAATAATTGTGATTCAGGGAAAAAAGTTCAATACCTTTTGCATGATTAGTTATTAGCTAATAGTGATCATCAATTTAGTATATAGCTAACTTGTTTCTATGGTATTATAATGATCGTATGTTACTCAATCAAGTAAAATTTTTCATATATTAATAGCAAAAACTTCCTCTTATATAAGTAGTTGCATTTTCAAGTGATTCCTTTCTACTAGGTATCAAACAAAACAAAGGGAGTAAAATTTAACCAATTCTTTTTCATGGTTAAACCAAACAAATAAAAAGGTAATAGTTAAATGATTTCTTCCGCCCTCTTATTTGTTTCCTTTCCACTCCGTTTCCATTATCCAAACCAAACGCTCCCTAAACCTGCATTTCTATTTGCCTTCATTTCATTATTCTCTTATAGCCACCTCTTTTGTAAATAAATTTGCATTGAAACCCACATCATCGTGTCAAGCCAACATAATCATACCCTCCGGAGAAGTCATACTTTGCAGGTCTCTAAATGAGGATATTCCTATTAACATAGATGGAATTGAGTTATAGCTAATCTTATCTAGCTTAACTTGACTGACTTTGATGTCATTATGGGGATGGATTTGCTTAGCAAGCACAAAGCTAAGATTGAGTGTCATAACAAAAAAGTATCTCTTAGTGGGGGAAAAGAGGAATAAGATCTCATATTAAGGGAGACGTTTTTAAGCCTGAAATCAAAATTGTCCACTATATATATCGTGTGGAATTTTATTGAATTCATTTCAATGTCAACTTTTAGAATATCAAATTTTATAATCTTTACATAAATAGATATGAATATATTTATATTTTATGACGTGCCTTGATCTGAAGATCGTGAAAAGTCAGATGGTGCAAACATAAAGGAAAGAGTTGGATGGAATACTTTATTTACATCTATTTTATTTTTCCACTTATCTATTTATTTTACACTCTTATTACTTTAGCCACCTTTTTTCTTACACCCACTTACGACACTAATACTTTTTTTTAATCTATGGGCAAAGAGTAAATGTTAAAATTATTTAGAGACAAAATTTTACTAATCGATTCGATATTCGTCTCAAAGGTAACATAAGTAGTACGCTAATTAGAAAATTTATTTGTAACATTGTTGTTTTGACAAGGTAATACCAATACCAATCCCTTAGAAAACAGCAAACTAAAAGAAGACTAACCATCCAAGGAGTAGCTCAATTTCCACCGTTGTACCAGTATAAACCCTTTATGGCACCAAAGTTTACAATTTATTGGAGAACAAATACCTAAAAAAAACAGACTAAACACTTGAAAACTAAGTTGGCCAACTGCCATTTCACACTTAAGTAACAACCACTCTAACAATGCTTAACCTTGTCTCACTCAATACTATTTTCAGAATCTTCCTGATACTGTAATCTGCTAGATCTTTTTTTTTTCTTGTTTTGACAAAATTCACCTAATAAAGGAAACCTTAAAGAAATGGACATAATTTTATGCATGCTTGGTTAGAAAGAACACCAACCATTAAACAATGCTGTATGTATATAAAACACTACTTCTTCAATTACTTATTGTATGCATCTTAAGTACTCCGTATACGATATATACTGACAACATAAACGAATTTATGGCATTCCTACTTAGATTGGCATTTGCTTTCTTGGTGGCTATAGGCCTATTAGAGTTAACAATTTTTGCCGCGACACCAACTGATGGGGAGGAGCTGGTTACATTTATCTTCGGCGATTCCTTGACTGAAGTTGGCAATAACAATTACTTGCAATACTCTCTAGCCAAGTCCAACTACCCTTGGTATGGTATTGATTACGAGGGTGGCCAGGCAACTGGAAGGTTCACCAATGGAAGAACCATTGGCGACATAATATGTAATATACTTAACAAAAGCTCAATTCATGATATAACTTTGATGTCTGTTTGACTAATATTTACATAATATTTAGATGATTGATTAACTGGTGCCTTTTTTTTTTTTTCTGATGGTGTATGTAGCTGAGAAACTCGGAATCCAATCACCACCACCATATCTTTCCCTATCTCCAAACGACGATAAATTGCTCAAAGGAGTGAATTATGCTTCTGGAGGAGCAGGAATTCTCAATGATACTGGCGTTTACTTCGTAAGAACCCACTGCTTTTATGCAGCTTGTTAAGATATTCTTCGTAATTTACTTTATAAATTATGTTGTTTATTTTTTTGTTCAGATACAAAGATTAACATTTGATGATCAAATCAATGCCTTTGGGAACACGACATTAGCCATCAAATCTAAGATAGGAGAAGCAGCTGCAAATAAGCTCTTAAACAAAGCCGTTTACTTTGTTGGAATAGGTAAAAGATCGAAATCACTCCTTGTTCACTGAGGTCAGTCACAGTTTATATACAAGCGAAACGCAAACAAACTGATGTTAATGCTTTGTGAAATTTCACAGGAAGCAATGATTATGTCAACAATTACTTGCAACCATTCATGGTGGCAGGACAGCAATACTCCCATGATGAGTTTGTGGAGCTCTTAATCGCTACGTTAGGGAGCCAACTAACGGTAATCACTCTCTCCTTCAGCTATAAAATTCAGTATCATCAATCGAGTATAAGTTATATAACCAGTAAAATTTAGTTCCCATATCAAATACTCGGTATAAGTCTACTGGAAACTTTTTTTTTTAAGTATGATCGCTGACAGTAGCTTAACATGGCTTACTATCAGACCCTCCATCAACTGGGCGCTCGAAGAGTAATCTTCCATGGACTCGGCCCCTTGGGCTGCATCCCCTCGCAGAGGGTGAAGTCAAAGCAAGGAACATGCCTAACCCAAGTGAACAAATGGGTACAGCAGTTTAATAGTAAAGTGCAAAATTTAGTCCTGAGTTTGAACCAACACCTCAACGATGCACAATTTGGATTTGCTGATACTTACCAAGACGTGCAAGAACTCATCACAACCCCACAAGCTTATGGTAAACTTGACTAGTCAAGTACTCTTTTAGTCCTAAATCTAACAATTACCATATCGAATTTGCACTAAACCATCGTTCTGGGTCATTTTCTAGGTTTCAAGGTATCGAATACATCGTGCTGTAATGTGGATACATCGATTGGGGGACTATGCTTGCCGAACTCCAAAGTGTGCAAAAACAGGAAGGACTACGTCTTTTGGGATGCTTTCCATCCCTCAGACGCTGCCAATGCTGTACTAGCTAATAAGCTCTTCACAAGTCTATTTCCGAATGCTCCAAAGAACGAAACACCACCTCCTGAAACAACACCTTCAGCAAGGAAGGCGCTTCGACAACCATGATCCGCTATAAGTCTATAACTACTGACAGAAGAGCATTACTATGTCCACTTAATAGAACACAAACAGAGAAGAGATGAACACTCTAATCACTTTTCGTGCAAACAATTACCAATTTCTTATGTGTCATTGCCAATGTAATTCTATACATATTTTGTTAACCACATTAAGAATGCTTATATATTTTGATATATACCATATTTTAGCTATAAAATCTCCGCTTCTCTCAAATTATTTCAATCAATTAATTAGCCATTCGCCTAAACTTATGTCAATCACAAATATCATCAATTATATAATCTACCTCCCAAAATCAAGCATTATACGGTATAATTCCCCAATTTGAGAAAAACCTTTTGGCTTTAACTTAACTTAGAGGTGTGTAACCAAATAATACCAAGATTACTTATATTACTGGTGTTCTGTGCTTCTGTTTATCCGAATGTAACTAGATAATATCAACCTTAATCTTAATTATGCTCAAGGAGTAATATAAGTTACATTTTTGGAATTAGATTAAGCCATTAAGATAGAGATATCAATTCGGCCTATTCGGGTCACTAAGCCAGATTCAATCGAGGCTAATCACGCTTGAGTCAATGAGTCAAGTGGTTAATTTCCGATGGAGTCAATTTTTGAAACTGAATAATTTTTAACACAGAATTAAATACCGTTGATCAACACCCCTAACCAAAATTAATAATTACGACGATAATGTAATTTAAACTAGTAAATCAAATAACTAAATTCAAAGAGAATTAAAATTTAAAATCACTCAACTAATTTCATAAACAAGGTTTGAATCAAAGTTGCTCTCAGACATGGGCCAAGGTTTTCCACATATTAGCATTTCTCCGAAAGGCAACAAACCAATCAACAGAAATTTCAACCCCAAAAATATGATTAATTTCTCAGAAATCCCTTCCTCTTTACTCTAAAATAAGCCAGAAAAATAAATTTCTCACTAATTTTAGAGAAAAAAATCATCAAGAATAACAAAGAAATCAAGCATATTTTATAGATCAAAATTTCAAGATCAGAAATCACCAAACAAATACTACGCTTCCTTCGGTGTGGTTAAAGCATTGATTGAATCATCATCGAGCAAAATAATTTCATTAAAAAACTAACTACAAAATTAAAATTTGAAAAAAAAAAATTTAATAAAAAATGTAGAACCTACGAGAAAGTTGCAAAAGAATCCCATGAAAAAAAGGGAATCGCACGTCCAGAGGTACAATGGATGTTGCATCTCTTTGTAATTTCTCTGTTGATTTAATTAAGCAGAGAAAATCATAGTCGAAGATGCAGTGATTCATAGTATTTCATATAATTAGAGATGATAAGTTTGAGAGAATAAAACTAAGGAATGATTAATTAGAGAGGTTTGGATGAGGGGAGGAAGTATGCGGCGAAGAAAGTTGCTGGGTTTGGAAAAATTTATATACTAGTAGATACCACTGATAGAGAAGCCCACTAGGGTTTGGAAAAATTTCATTGGCGGGTCGATTTAGATCAATGAAAACAATTAATGGGTCGGTCAGATTCGGATTAATTTAGGTCGGGTTGACATAGAGTTCTAACCGAGTTTTGTCAGGTTGTATACCAGGTTTTGTTTTATATCAATTAGATGAAGCCCTTGCGATACACGGTTTGTTTGTATTTTTACAACAAAATATTTTTGGTATTTATGTGATAAAATTTGTTTGTTTTATATTTAGATAAAATTCATAATTTCAAAAGATAATATTTTATACTTTGTATTTAATTAATTTAAACTTCAAAATTTCATTCGCCAATGTTGCTTATGCGACATTTGAATTAATTTAAAATGTGAATTTTCATCTCATTCGTTATATATTAAAATAAAATTCCTAATTTCAAAAGATAATGTATTATATTTAATTAATTTAAACTTTAAAATCTCATTCGCCAATTTTGTTTATGTGACATTTGAATTAATTAATTAATTCAAAAAGAAATTACAAATCTCTTATTTGATTGGCTATCATTAAAATTTATAATCCTACATGACACGTTAAGAAAATTTAATCCTAGGTGGCTCTCTAAAAACTCGGGAAAAAACTCCCCTTTAAATATATACTAGTTTTGAGTCCCGGACCAGGTTGTTTACTGAATTTTAGGATAAACTTTTTTGGCTTGAATGTTAAATACGGTCATATGATCACTTTTGATAATGTAGGATATTTGGACATACGATATCATACTTAAATTATTTTTACTAAACTGAAAGTATTTTTACCGGTTAAAACTTATTTTTACTAATTCTATATTATTTTAAATATATTATAAATGGATCTTATTTTAAAAAACTTTTTAAAATAAATTTAATGATGGAAATAGAACCGAGTTATTAGATTTTTATTCAAAGTTATGATTAATTTTGTATATATGAAATATTAGTAGTGTTTCGGGGGTTTTTTGGAATCCCTCGGGATACTAGTCTTGAACACGGCCGGATGGACCATGGACGCGGACACCTACAAAATAACGAATATTCCATTTGACGGAATTTTTGCCTCCAACGATCAAGTTAGTGACTGGAAACGGAATAAATGTAGAGAGAGAAAGTAGAGAAAAGTTAGAGCTTTCAATGCTCTTAGAATGATATTTCTTAATCCACCCCTCCCATCATAAATAATTAGGGTATTTATAGGGGTGGGAAAGTGTGTCATCTAGGGTTTGGTAAACTAGGATGGCGTGCTCTGATTGGCAACGCAATCAGGTGAAAGCACGTGTCCATATAGGGCGTTGTTTTGCAGCTTTCTCGGGATTTGGGCCTCCTGATGTAAGGAGGCCCTTTTCTCTCATTTCAGATGCTCTTTATGCTTGACACGTGTCATCTTCCTATAGGGACACGTGTCACCCTTTAATTGGGCCACGTGTCTCTATGGATTTTGACCACGTGTTGGGGTATTTTTTACCCTAAACATTTTCCCCTCATAAGGGGTGACTCGTACCATACGGGCCGCCTCCTTAGATCTTTCACTCGTCCGGTGTCGTCCGTCCATCAGAGGGATTTCTCCTTTGGGCTATCTACCTTGTTTAGTCCGTCTGATTTTACTTAATGGACTTTGAGTCTTAAAATCGGACGTACGAGTTGTGCCGACTGGCTTGAGGGGGACACCTGTCATCCGTATTTGGCGGAATGACGGTTTGAATTCCGCTGACCTGACCGTCTATTTTGACGTCGTCAGTTTGTCTGTACCTTTTTTCGTCTTATATGACAGAGCGGTTTTTTAACCGTTCAGCTTTTAGGTTAACTTTTTTCAAAAGTTACCATTCAAACCTGTGGGCGGGAAAGATGGTTTTACCATTTTGCCCTCATAAATTTAGTCTATAAATAGAAGTTCTTTAACTTCATTTTGATACTTTGAATATTTGAGTATTCTAGAGAGAAGGTAAAGCTTTTAGAGAGAGAAAGTAATTTTCGTCCCAAATCTTCGAGAGCTCCGCCGTGTTCCTTGAGTTTGCCGGTAAGGTTTTTGAGTTTTCCAGTCAACCTTAAAGATCTTCAAAGACTTCCAAAGTTTTCTACACGTACAGAAATAACTGCCTGCTCTTCTTTACTTCTTCCTTTTTTCTTTTACTTGTTTTATTTTTATAAACATGAACTGGCACAACACTCGGCTTCGTCCGTTTCTCCTCATGAGGCCGGCCGTTCGCCTGGGATTGAGGAGTCTAGAGTGGACGGGGACGAGTCCTCCTATCTATGGATTGGGTCCATTTCTAGTGTGTACCAACTCACCCCCACCTATTATTCTCTGTCCCTGCAGTCGAGCATGGCACGTACGAGTCAGACATACGAGAAAGAGGCCGCTAGAAACCCGGCCAGCAGTATGGTAGATTCTTTAGTTCCTTATGATCCAAGTGACACGGACGTGGAGGACGCAAATACAACTACTGTTAGTGGTAGTGAATGTTCCGTGGTCGAAGTGACCACCTCTTTTGAAGAGCGCCAAAATCAGCAAGGCACCTCTTGTACCAGGGAAGTGTCTGGGCAAAATCCGGGACCATGCTTCTCACAATTCACCAGCTCGGTCTTGATGCAGTCCGAGTTGCCATCTTCTGGAAGGCACCCTTCCTCTTCTAAGGCGAACGCTGGGGCGTCCGTCCAAAATCCTCAACAACCTCCAATCCAAACTACTAGCTCGGCCAGGCCTAGAACTGGCATCTATATTGCTGAACCGGCCAACCTGCCCCTCGCAGCGCTCCTCCTTCTGGAAACCAAGCAGACGCTGGGGAAAAGAAAGATAAAGGCAAGAGGCCCTTGGTACCTATAGGCATCATTGTTTCCAGAGGCGGCCAAGGCTCTAGGGGAGGGAGCTCGGCCGAAGCTGCTGAGCTGGACACAGTGTTATCCTCTGAATCTGGGGCCGCTCCTAGTTACTGAAGGAGAGGCTGAGAACCTGGATGCCGATCAGGTGGCTGAGAAACTAAATGCTGATAATTTCAAGGACCCATACGCTTGTTCGTATGGCGACACTGCCTTGACCTTTCTGCACTCGAAGTTTGAGGAGTTCAAGAAGTTCCTCCACTTGGGAGAAGGTTACGAAATCGTAGCGCCCACTCGCTCTTACTCGATGGCCGCCTGGGAGAGCAAGAGGTAGTAGAAGAAATGCTTCAGCGTCTACCGCTCTGTTTTGGAAGTGGGCCTTCACTTTCCTTTTCATCCGTTCGTCCAGGAGCTCCTGGATGAATACAACATTGCTTTCTTCCAGCTGGTGCCGAACAACTAGTTTAACATTTTTGGCTATCTGGTCATGTGCCTCCGGCAAGGCTTTAAGCCGGACGTACCAATTTTTTATGATATGCATTCCACGGTCCGCCTGGATGCTAGCCTGGATGGGTGGTTTATTCTGATCACCTAGAGAGATTATATGGTGGTGATGGATAGGCCGTCCAAGTGGCGAGACTAGAAGCACCAATTCTATCACATTAAGACAAAGGATGAACAATTTAACTTGTGGATGAATCGGTTTAATGCCGATCCAATTTAGCTTGGCCGCGGGCAGTATAGACCCGGCAAGCCACCCGTCCACCCTAACTACATGCACCAACTGGACTACTTCGGAGTTAGAAATGTAGTCAGGGATGGAAAGACAGTGACTATGCCGCTCAATTGGATTCTGCTGGCCGTGTGGCTTAGGAACCCAGTTTTCATGTCGGCCTGTGGCCTGTACCAGAACTACCCACAAGGTGGGACCTTG